ACACTTACAATATATATGTAAGAGTATGGATGAAATGCAATCATATAATATAAAAATTATATGTATAACCCAATGTAATAGATGTATACTAAACATATAATAAAATTATCAAATGCTTAGTATAATCATGTGGACTATCAGTTATATACATGATTATTATATAATATGGCGTTCATAAATTATGAATGGGAAAATGTAATAATAATATCCTAAGAAAAGATATACAGTCATGTCATATATATAAATGATACATCTGGCATGATATTCTAAGTATATAATAAGATATGAATACAAATGCATGAATAAATAAAATGCATAAATGATATAGAATAAATTATAGAATGAAGAAACTCCCCTAGACCCATTTATAGAAAACACCTAAGGTATGAGAAGTGTATGTGAAATGATGGGGCTAGTTAGGATCACATCATCCCTCTTTTTTATGGGTGATTTATCCGTAAATCGAAGTAGTTTCTCGTTGAATACCTTCTTAATATAGGGGTGATTGAATCCCTATGTCCTCCTTTAAAGGATACTTCACTTGGAATGTTATTCATCTCTCCTTCAATCTCGTGACTCTTTGAATCATCATGCCTCTTTGTAAATGCACGTTTCTTTTAGATGTATTCTTTATGTATTTTAGGAACATTACATTCTTTGGTGATGGAACATGTTTTTTGGACATCCCCTTGCTTGAAACAACACGATTGTGTGAAAAGGTACTTGTTCGTTCCAACCTCTCTTTTAGAATCATCATGTTTCTTTATGAAAGGACTTATCATTTGAGGTTTTCTTGGTGTCGGTTGTAAAAGACATAATCTTCCTTTAATGCTCTAACGTTGTGTTTTTCATTCCAATATTCGGATTAATTTCTCTTAGTTTACAAACATCCTCATAATGTTTCTCATTTGAATCAGAAATGCTTGTCCTTTAAAACTTGTTAATCTTGGATTTGATGCACAAACTAGTCTCAAAATGAAAAAGGAACTTGTAATCATAGTTTTATAGGATAACACCATATATATGAATCAAATGATAGCAAAAATAATAAAGGTTAGTAAATGATAAATTGTTAACGAAGTGAATGGAAATAGGAAATGAGGGTGGATGTTTGATTGTATTAGTTGTTAACGAAATCGAATGATAGCAGAACTGGAAATAATTTGTTACTCACCCTAGGAAAATTTTGACTTCCTTGGTTAGAGATTTATATGCTCATTTAGCCATCTCCATGTAGTCAAGAGTGTTTATAAGGGGATAAAAAATCAAGTTTACAGTCACCACAATTAACAAATTTTACTGCTTGAAGGATGTCGTTGATCTACACACTTCTTTCGCAGATAAAGCAACACCTCGTACATACAAGGAGATTCTGGAAGATTTGTGTTTTGTTGGATTGAAGTGGGACATCTCCCCGGTCACGAATAAGATGATGGTTGAGCGGGCAAAATTGAAGCCCGACACTAAGTTGTGGAACCACTTTTGAAATCACGTATAATGCCAACCTCTCACCACACCACTATTTCTCTGCAGAGAATACTACTGTTGCAAGAACATTGATGTTGGCAACATGATACTGTTTAGAAACAAAATTGAGCCCTTTGGTTTTTCTTAATCTCATTATTGCTTATTACAGGTCCAAAAATGTGTATGAATACCACATTGACGAGATTCTACCTGGGAAGAAAAGATTGACCCCTAAGAAGGTCCCAATCCTGAAGGGATTCAATCCAGATGCTCCGGTACAATCATTGCAAGGAGGATCCAAAACTTTTATTACAGCACAATTAACCTCAGTGGTGGCCTCAACACAAACCACGAGAGAGAATCTGGAGGAACTCAAGCAGAGTTTACGAACCTTTTTCATTTATGTCAAGGAGATAGATACAATGTTGAACAACTATTTTCAAGAAATGTTACCTCAAGTAATTGTTGACTTATCTCCATTCCCAAACTTGTTGCTTGCACCAGTGAAAGCACCTCCGCTACCAAGTGAAGTTCTACCCCTCTAAAAGACAATACAACACATTGTTACTGTTGAAGCATTTGTACATCAACATTCTCCGTAGTAAGACAAAGGCAAAGCCCCATGCACACTCCAATATCACAAGCAACTGAAGAAGAACTTGTCACGGTGAACAAAGAAGATGATAAAACTATTAACAACAACCCTAATTATACACCTATCGTACCACCCGAGACTATTCCGAGGACTAAGCATCATCTGAAATGAACCGCATGAAGAATATGGAACTCTCTCACTAAAGGGAATGACGAGACCACCGAGGACAACCCATCACCACTATCATCTGATACTGAACAGTCCATTGCAGTCCTTTACAAGAAGCGTATGAAGCATACGGTTAAAAAGATAGTATTTCCATCGAAATGAGGTACCACCCCTTACGTCTGCATTGCATATAGTTTAGTTTCCATGCATTGAGAACATTGCATCTCTCGAATTTGGGGGAGGTGGTGTTATAGTTAAGCATTTGTATTAGTGTTTTGTTCAACAAATTTTTGCTACAACATTTGCTTGGTTTTAGAACAGTTTGTGGAATAAATTGATGATGTTTGATGATGAGAATATGTTTAGGACACGGTTAATTACGCCTGAATTAATTACACAATTGTGTACCTTCTATGTTTAGGAATGTTAGGAAAGTTTTAAGAAAGAACTCTTGCATGCTTTAGTATGATTGGTACTAGTGAAATTAATGGAAATAATTAATGGAAATAATTATAACTTGAAATATTTGAATTAAACTCCCTTGTGCTGATAAATGTGAATAAATGTTTCGGCATAAAAGCATAGGGACACTCCTCTTTGCTAAAAATAACATATGAGTGAATGAAAGTAGTCACGAGATGACTCTACCTACTAGCTCGGGGATAGAATGTTTGCTCCGGTTCATCTAGAGTAAGGGATGGTAGTTGTAGGATGACTCCCCTCGTTCCAGTTAAAAAATAAAAAATTGGAGTAAATTTGTGCTTAAAGATTGAAAAAAAATACTAAGGCAAAATAGGGAGCTTGCCTAGAATTTTTCTAACTTTACTAAGCATAGATGGGATACAATTACACACACACATACAAAAGACATTGTCTTAGAGGAAAGTCTTTGATCTCTCAATCTATCTAGCATATTGAAGCCGATGTTCTGAGGGATGAAATTTAAAACCTACCAACTGTCTTAGAATGAACTTTGTTGTAGCATAACTTCTATTGGCCAACACTCATTGCTTGAGGACAAGTAATAACTTGAGTTTGGGGGTTCGTTAACCCTATAAAAATAGAATATTTCATGTTTTTTTACTAAAATTATCGAATGTTATTAAGCCCATTTAGTTACATTTAGTTGCATATAGCTTAGCCATTTACGTATCATGGATTTTATTGTCTTATTTGATGTATTGGTGGAATTGGTTCTACTTGAGAAGGGTTTGTTTCGATGTGGTGATATGCAGGTAACTTAAGGTGAATTGCCTGGAGTGGACGCTTATGTTGTAGCAAAGGGAACAATATTTCTAGGTGCATTAGAAGACAAACGAAGAAGATAATTATTGGCAGCATCCCACATGTGACACCTTGCCATTTGTGCCCCACACGTGAAAGGTATATTCCCTTAAGAATTAGGGCACAAACCCTAGGAACTCTCACTATATAAGGAAAAAAGGACACCACATTTATGAAATGATAGAAAGTGACAGATAAGAAAGAGAAAGATAGAAGTGGCCATTCTTTCTTCTTCTCTTCTTCATCGTGGTAGCCTCAACTACTGAAACTTCAAGGGGATAAAGCTTACTGGCCTTTGAGAGAAATAGCAACGCTTGAGGTGGTTCACGACAGTCCATAGTAGCTTTTGGCTTGAGAGTCTTATTCGCCTTTGTTGCTTGTTTTTTCTTCCATCTTTGTTTTGAAATAGGTTGTATTAAACGAATGATATTGGATGTTTTTCACCCAGCCATGAACTAACTTAATTTGGCTTGGGTTTATTTTGGATGAATATGTTTTTGTCTTAATGAATGTTATAGCATTTCCAAATATATACATGCTTTGTTCATTATTTTCTCGTTTAGATTTGTAAGAGCTTTCGATAGTTATCATTTACCTTTATTTGATGGCTGATTTTGAGAGAGTTGAGCTTAGATGTACGTGAACAATAGAGTGGAGCTGGGTAGCAAAATTCTAACTCGCCTTAAAGATAAGAAAAGGGTTTCAACGACTAACAAGAGTAGGGCTTATTCGATAGTAGTTGTTAGGATTCAAGCTGAGAAGTATTGCCTTAGAATTTTCACTGTCAGGTTTCTCACTAGAGATAGTTTAGAAATAACTTAGGAAACTCTATCGAGCATTGTATTAATTGGAAATCATTAACAGTCGTAAGACATAGAATTCTAAGATAAACCTAGCCAATTAACCTCATTGAGTGTTCCACACGTTTGAAGTTATATCGTTGTCTTATCTCATGCACCATTTCTCATCATAAAATTTTGCTAGAGTATTTCTTACTTTACTTTTTGCTACATCATTTCACCTATCTTACCTTTACCAAAACATTTTCTACAATTGTTCATACCATTTTATGTTCATTAGTTTATGTTTTAGGTGCTTAAACTTTACTTGAATTTTCCCTTCAATCCCTATGGATACGATACTCATCACTTTATTACTTGTTCGTCGTGTATACTTGCTATAATATATTCAAACTACCTTAGTTGCCCTAGTGGGGCATTTTCAGTGTGCGAGGCACTTCAGGGACTAACTAAGGCATGAGGTCTTAACACTCACGAGGAATGGGTTAAAAATGTTAGTGTTATGTGGCCTTTGGGCCCTTTGATATGCATGTATAGTTGCATCAGTCAAGTATAGAAGATATCTATAAAGCTTGGCTTAATGGCTATGTGAGACCGAGCCAATGCTTCAGTTGAGCGAGAATTGTACTGATGCTATGTGACACCCGGTTCCACCTCCATGATTTACCTAATGGCTATGTGAGGACCAAGAGATCATTCAGCAGCTTAGTGGGAATTTCACTGATACTATGTGACATCGGGTTCTCTTAATTAACTATTATTTGATGCTATGTGAGACTAGATACTAGTCAGTGTGGCGAGACAGTTAGCAGAAGATTAAGGGAAGCGTAAGACTCATACTTTAGTGCTAGAATAGTTAAACCCTAAGTATATAGTACTTGAGTAAGATCATGTATGTATCTACTACTTAGTACGATGTTTTTAGCATGCTTATGTTTTTTATATTCATAATGCTTCTCTAGATTAGCGCTTTATACTATTGGGTTTTGTAAGCTCAGTGTTCGAATGTTTTCCGTTCGCAGGTCAGTAGCTAGAGCCGATCGTGGAGGATCATCACAACAGGACTTCCAACATCTTCTTCAGAGTATTGTACTATACCTTTAGTGGGCATATGTTTTCATAGAACCTTACTCATATATTCAAATTTGTAACTCTGAGTTTATACTATTTTGATTTAAACAATGTGTAATAGAGCTTCGATTTATAAAACATTTTTTATAACATATATTTATGTTTATTTTTTATATCATAGTCTGTTTAAAATGGAAATGAACGGGTTTTGAAAAACCAGGGGTTACCTCGATGACCCAATGTAACATTTTAGGCCCATTCGGGTTTATGGTGTTACATGTATTATACGAGATACACACCTAAATACGAGAGTGATGATGTATTGTGTTATATATGTATTTAATCTCATGTATTCTAGTATCTCAACTACCAGAGTACAATTCTGAATTCTATTAAGGGACATGTACATTCCATGTGTACTTGTGTTATATATATGTATTTAGTCTGATATCCAATCTTATTTTGGAACTGATACATATTTTTATGGATCGTTAAAGAGTCGGAGCTCAATATTTTGTATACTAACTCTCTTAGTTGTCGTATGTTGTGTCTCTAAATATGAAAGGTGTTTTTTAAGTTTTCAATTAAAGAAATTTTTATATTATGGATTTTGGGTAGCTCTTGGGCCCAAATGTGACACTTTAAACCTAGCGTTGACAAATTGGGTTTATGGTGTTACATGAGGAACTGGAAAAAATCATGTAAAATGAATAAACTAACTTGAAAAAGAGGAATTTATTTGTTAGAAAGGGGAATTGAACCGATATAAAATCTCCCATGGTTAAGAAGCATATTGTTCTAACTTGGTCAAAAATAGACATAAAATGAAAGAGAAATTGAAGAAATAATGAAGTTAAGAGCTAAATTAAAAATTAATCAAATTATTTAATGGTAAAGAATGCAAATAGTCTCACGACTATAGGTACTACTTTATTAAGTTCCTCGACTATTAAAAGTTGTAAAATAGTCATTCGATTATAGAATGTTGCTTTTTTGAGTCTCTTAACTATTAAAAGTTACAACATGGTCACCTGATTATTCATTATGTTCCAAACTCATCTTTTTTCGTTAAAAAATTGACAGTTGTTTAAGTTGGACATTAACAAGATAACTGAGATATCATAGTCATTTGAGATTTTCAGATCAAATTTTAGCATATCACAATTAACAAGTTAACATTTAACTCAGAATATCATCTATTTTTTAACGAAAAAATGAGTTTGAATTTTAAGATAGATACATGTTCATCTTGAACAAAGGATGGATCCGCCACTATTTATACAACCCGTATCAAGAATCGTAAGTGATTATTGGGAATAGAAAGGGAAAATCAGGGGGTTAATAGTTGTGTGTGAAGCTGGATCTTTTATAGTTGGGGGTTCAAACTCCAATAAGTAAAAATACTCGTATTTCGTATGAGGTTAGTCTCAAGAATTCAGAGTGTTTTTTATTATGTGAACCTTCTAATCACTTCTGGTGAAGTTTGGAAGACAGTTTTTCTATGAAAAAAATTTGATAATTGGAAGTTTAATAAATTATTCAATAGATTATATTATATTTTAAAGAAAAATCATAAAATTATTATTAAAAATAAAAAATTCTATACATTCATCGGTTAACAATTATTAGATTATTGTTTTAGAAAAAATAACACTACATTATTGGGTAAAGTACATAAATGGTTCCTCAATTATAGGATGATACTTGGTTTAGTTCGTCAACTATTAAAAGTTATAAAATGATCTCTCGAATATAGGACACTATTTTGCTGGGTCCTCTAACTATTAAAAGTTACAAAATGGCCACCCGACCATTCATGAGTTCCAAACTCATCATTTTTTGTTAAAAAATTGGCGGCATTCTGAGTTGGAAGTTAACCTATTGAATGAAACATGATAAAATCTTATTAAAAATCATTTGAGCTGCATTTTATAGATTGGATATTCGTTACATTATGTTGCCCAGTTAGTACTTGAAACATTATGTTGTCCAGTTAGTACTTGAAGCATTACGTTATCGAGCTAGTATTTGAAAGCAACGACGATGACAATAGACATCATTAAAATATAATTTTATAATATATCAATCAAAATTTTAACGTCCAACTCAATGGTCGGTATTTTTTTTAACAAAAATGGGCGAGTTTGAAACATATGAATAGTCAGATTACCATTTTGTAACATTTCATAATCATGGGACTCAACAAAATAGCGTCTTATAATTGAAAGACCATTTTATAAGTTTTAATAGTTAAGGGACTCATCAAAGTAGTACCCCATAGTTGAAGGAACATTTGTGTAGTTTACCCTAATTTTTAATCAACATTAATATTTTTTCTATCTAAATCGAGACAGATAAGCAAACACGTGTTGTGGGGTTTATTTCAAGTGTAACAAATAGCCAATGGGAGCATGACACATTTTCCTTAATATTTTAGGGGCAAAAGTTTCTTTTTCCCGTTGATTCGTTGGCTACCCTAAAAAGGGAAAAGAAAGAAAGAAAGAGCGGGAATCATTCCGTAATATATTATTAAAAAAAGATATTATCGGTTTTATTATTATTTAAATAATAAAATCCGTAAAAATTTATCGAAAATATTATTATTTCTATTGATTTTGTTATTGTTGAACACTTTACCGGAAATATTAAAAAACATTGATGTTTTAGGTAGAAATAATAATGTTTTAGATAATTTTTTACCGGTTTTGTTATTTAAATAATAACAAAACCGATAACGCCTTCTTTTAACCGTATATTAAGGGTGCCGCACTATAAAACTTCCCGAGAAAGGGGATTTTGAAAGCAATTTCAATGGTTAGGGCTCTGAGTGTGTAGAATATGTACATGTTCTTTGTCGGGATAAGTTTAAATTTATTTCATGATCAAATTATTTATTTAAATCTAGATTTTCATTGGGTAAATGAAAATATGGTATGATATATGTTAATTATTTAAATTCAATTCGAATAAAAAATATGTAATAATATAAAATGAAACTTTGATTCGATATTTTACCATAAAACACAAAGAAATCAAGCTAAGAATATACAACTATGAAACCTATCATTTCCTTTTCTACTTCTGTTGGATTTCAGGTGGAAACCTTTGGGACAAGATCTTAGTACAAATGAAACATCAGTTGCAAAATGAATAGATCCGACCACAACATCAAAGGTTCAGATTTTGTTTTCCTAAATGCTTGCATGTATATGGATTTTTGTTGAATGGACAGTGTACTGCGTATATAAATGGCTCTTTTTTTGTGTAAAAGATTTTTGATTGTCCGATTAGTTTTTGGAAGGACAAGCAGTTTCCATGCCATCAGGCCGCAAACAAAGCAAATTCGGTGGGATAAACATCTCATCCATTCGTACAAGCCTGCTTTGCCTTTGCCCCTCTTGTTGTGAACTTAGCATGCCATTCTTTTAGTTTTTACGAGTCGGTGCCCGGGCAGAGACAGACAAGCAGACAGACAGGCCTCTAATTTTGACTTGCTTTTGTTAATCATTCATTTTTAATTTTCAGGTACAAAAGTTAAACAGATTGTTATTAAACAAAACGTTGTAAAAGCTCAAATTAAGATGGACAAAATAAACTATAATATAATTAAATTTTTTAATAAAAATTAATGTTTCAACAAACAAAAAATAAGGTATAAGAAAAGTTGTATAATCTCAATATGAAAATTCAACAGAAAAATAAAACTAACACATTCTTTTTAAATACATGTTTCATCTTTTTAAGAAAATAATTATTATTAGTGATTTATTTGTCTCTATTTAAAATTGGATGTAATATTGATGTAGGCGTGGAGAATTAAAAAAACCAATTTAATAGATTGTTTCGTGGAATATTTTAAACGCATCAACAAATTGTCACAAAAAGAAATATATCAATATAAGATCGTCGGATTTTTCTAATTAGAAAATCTGTCGAGATAAATACAACACACAATACCAAACTACAATAACAATAGATAAAATTATATTATAAACACATATAAATAATCATATTATAAAGATAGAAGAAAATATAATTAGATTTTATTATAGAAAATCAGATATATTATATGACTAATATCACATTGCATGATATTAGTGCTTCTACAACAAAAGTAAATACGAAGTTACAAAAATATATTAGTACGAATTAATGATAGATTTTAAAATATAAATTTAATTATAAACAATTTTTGGAGTAGGTGGTTAAAAGTTTTTAGTTAATATATTTCATCTTTCATAGATTATGATTCAATATCGATAAGAAGTGAATTTTCCTTCCCTTCTCCTCTAGATAAGAATTATTCCAAAAAAATTAAATTTAATTCGAATAAAGTGATTTCAGTGACTAAGAGGAATATTATTCTACTTAGAGATCCTGAGTTTGAGGAATTACATCTGCATGATATATTTTATTGTCAATGACTAAAAAAATTATAAATATATATTATCTTATACAACTAAAATATATCATTATATATGATTTTGAAATAAAAGATAATTGAATGATTAAAATAAAAAATAGTTTTAATTCTAATTACTAAGAGTATAGTTTGCAACGTAATCTTTCATTTTTTTCATTTATAATTTTAGATGTCTATCATTATATTTTTAATTTTTTTAATTTTTAATAATAAAAATATTATTAAAAATAACCTAAATATTCTCGTTCTCTCTCGCCCCCTTCCCATTCTTCTTCACGACTCTTCTTCTCCCACCACCATCACTTTTCATCTTGATAATAAAAGAATTTAGAAAAAAAAAATAATTTTATATGCGTGACATATGTCAGATAACGATCACATTTAACGGTCATTATTGTCCAGACAATTAAAATTGTAACGTTAGAAATTTTAAACACCTATTTTTAACAAAAAAAAAATAATTCTTTAAACACCAAATCATATTTTAAGATATAATTTAGATACTTACTTTTATATTGTAGAAGTTTCAGTGCGTTTAGCATTTTGCCCTCGATTCTCTACTATAAATAAACCACCACCCCTTTCATTTTTCTCTCATGCTGATGCTTTGTTCTTTCTCTTCTCCAAAACTACTCATCTTCATTTACTTCCATATATCAAACAAAATATTTCTCTTTCGTTTATATCCTCACTTTCCCATGTGATTTCAGAAAGCTCCAAAAATCCCCTTCATTTAAGCTCCCCTGCTTCTCCTCTTCTTGCAAGTTTTGATTTTGGATACGAAAATGTGCTCAAGTGTCTGTCAAGGGTGCCAGGAGGAGGTGATTGAATCACGTTTCTTTAGGCTGAAACTGGCTCCACCCCAAACAAGTTTCACTGAGCCAAATAATGAAGAAACAAACACTGCCATCATGGGTGGCTCGAGTTTCCTCCACTCCCTGTCTGACGCAACAGCTCCGGCCGTGAACCAAAATGTCTACGTGCATCCTCTTCTTAAGCGTTCGGGTTCTAGGCTAAGTGATGAAAGCCTCGAAATGTGCACCGAACAATTAGGTAGCGAAACTGGAAGCGAAGGTTCCTTGCTTTCCTTGGAAACTCAATCCGTGGCTTGCGATATTATTCCGTCGAAACCGAGGGAAAGTTCGTCCACCAGAAATATGAGGCGTGGCTACAGCTTTCCGCCTCTTTTGACGTCCATTAGCGGTTCGAATGGTGTTCAGATCAAGCCTCATCGGGAAAACGGCCGCTTAATTATTCAAGCCATTAGTTTCCCTACCTGTCATAGTTACTTCCATGCAGAACGTAGCGAGGGGAGGCTTAGGCTTTCCCTTTTCAAGGACACTACCACAATTCTCCGCATGGAAGACAACAACGAAGAACAAGAAGATGATGTCGAAGTTGAAGAAGAGTTTTATGGGGAAACTGAGAATAAAGAAGAAAACAACGGGAATGTTGGGGGTGAAATCGAGGCAGGGAAGATGCCAAGGCCAAGCAGCTGCAAAGAAAGTAATCGAGGCCACAAAGGAGGCTTGCTTAATTGGAAACCATTCTTGGTGACTACTTAAAAAATATGGCCAAAATTGGGATAATTTTCACCACTCTGAACTGAGAATTAGATTTCTAATTTTTAGTTAGAGTATTACAAGTTTAAGATTACGTACCATGGATTTCCTAAAATAAGCTATTGTTGGTAGTTATTTTCGTTGTAGGACCATCCGTGTATGTTTCTTTTTCTATCTTGTTTAATCTTACCTATACAAATTCTTACAATTACTTGCAAAGCAAAGATTTACGCAAACACAGGACACCAATCAAGGATTTCCCTTGTTTTTTTCTCAACCACCGAGTGTAGTGAATCGTCTGGTCCTCAATCCAAGCACGATCGATTACTAGGGTTGCCGTTAATTTCTGTGCTCATTTTCCAACATACACAGATAGTCCTATGGTTCACTTAAATTATGAAATTATTGAATGAAAATATCAAATAAACTCAGATTCATAAGAATGCTTGGTAATTATAGAAATTACTGGGCCACCAAAGACAACATGCAACTGATCACCTCATCAGACAAATCATCCATGTGCTTTGGGTACCTGCTGCTTCCTCTATTAAACTCGGGTTCCAATCAGTTTAAACTTCTTTCTAACGGCTTTGACGATAAAAATGATATTAAGCTGAAAATAAATTGGTCTTGTCGACCATTGAGAATTTATCCATTTTAATTTGGATTGAGAATTGTAGTCGGTGAGAAAACAGTCGTTAGCTGGTATTCTATGTAAGATAGAATTGTTCATGAGAAAGAAAAAGATGAAGATTGAATGCATATATTCGAGGATTCAACCTCTTTTTTGTTCTCTATTAGGGGTATTTATTGTGGTCTTCATCTGATAACGTCAGATATAAGATTATTATGACTATTCGTAGGTCAACTATCTAGATAACTTTGATAATTAGATCTTTTATTTTACCCTAGTAGATCAGGTTCTGTTAGGGATTTAGTCTAGAGGTCTTATCTATGCCTTATATTTTGTCAGAAAGTTAATGGTGTTATCATCCTCGGAGATAGTCACATATGTATGTATTGTTTATGGTAGGCACGTGTCCACCCTAAAATTCAATTTTTTTTAGGTTAGGTGTCCATTTTATTGAGGTGTTCACCCTAAATTTTTTTTGTGCTCGCATCTTAAAATTTTTATTATTAATATATGTATCTACCCTAAAAAATATTATTAGATCATAATTGTCCGGAAATCAATGATTCCTTAATAACTTCGACGGGCGGATGAGTCTATCTAGGAATTTCAATTGGAGGAGAGTTGTCATCTCCAAAGATATAACAATAATTGCTCATGAGTTGTTTCTTCTTTAATATAACGTGAAAGACAATAAATAACCCAACAATTCTCAAGTTACACTCTAAGAAAAATGTATGATCCGAACCCATCGTTACGAAGGACAATCGGAAGAATGTTTGAGTGTAATGAAAGCGGAAGATCATTAAAAGCATTGATTATAGATGTTTAAAACAAAATTTGTACCGCGGCAATAAAAGAAAGGGCAATTTCCATGCCAGGGCATTATTTACAAAAGGTAACTTTTGGGATACGGGCAATCAGCAAAAGGCTTTTAGAGGCTAGGAAATTGATTGGTTGGTTTTGGGTCCTGGGAAAGATGGGGTAACATTCCTGAAAAGAGAAGGGCATCGTCCCATGCAATTGGGGTTAGGTACCCCTTTTTTTTTCCTTAAAGTTTTTAGGGTTATTTTCGGGTAAGAGTGGGGATGCTGAATTTGTCAAATGTTAGCAGTCCAAAAATGCATCATTGTGTCGTGACATCCATCATGTGCTTTGAGAACCTTAGAGAGCCTTTCCTTTAATCACACAAATTATTCTCTCACCATATCACACCCGCAGGCAAGTGAAATCTTGTGGCTATCACCATGTCTCCTCGTATTTATTTTTTACTGTCAATTAAAATCATATATGTTGGGCTAAAAAAGATGCTTAATTGAATGGTAGGAAAGATTTTCCTCTAGTTAGCTAGGCAGGAGTTGGAAAATTTTGACGATCGATCACCTTCCTTTTCAAATTTCAACGACACAACATCAAGGGGTGCAGGTTGCGGGGATTACTCAACGTGCAAAAAGGAACATAATATATGGGTTCAAGTTTCAAATTTTAATTCTCTCGATGAAAGAGTAATATATGATTGAATTAAAAATATATAAGTGAATGTAATTTAGTGGTCGAAGGAGTCAGAAACTTTACCTGCTTGAATATATTACAAGGTGCACGGAGACGTGAGCATCACAAATTTGGTGGTCCTATTTCTTTAGTTTCTTTTTATTTTTTCCCCGAGTGATCAGTTACTTTGGTTGGTTTATTCAACCTAACCCAACAGAAGCAGTTACTTTGGTTGGTTTTAGTTATGGGTTCAGATTTTCATTCAAATTCCCAACTGTTCATTAGTGTTCCATTTTAAATAAAACTATGAACTTGTTTCCTGTTGATTCCGCGTGGAAAACCGGCTGTTGTCTTTCTTACATTGAAACTGATGTAGATAAAGACACAAGTTGTATATTATTTGGAATTCTATTGGTTTTGATTTGTTTAAGTGATCCACTACTGATTTCGGGTGAGAGGAGGAGGAGAAGGGGGGGGGGGGACTCCCATTTCTTCCTCCCAAAAACTTTGGAAGATGAAGCTCCAACACTAGGTAAGAATGAAACTCAATTTCCTAATCAATATCAATACACGAATGAAAATATAACATCAATATTCTTGGAAGAAAACGAAAAAGAAGAGATAATATAAAAAGATAGATGTTAAAATATTCTATGGGTTCTTTTATATTTTATATCGTATATAGATAGAATTCAAAAGATTTTAATATTTAAAAAGAAGGTTGTTATTCTTACAAAATTCAAATTCTAATAACTTTAGATATTATCTTACATTGTCTCATTTATATTTTTTATTTGATGTTGTCATAACAATTTTTTAAAAATAAGTTTGAAAATAATTATGACATTATTTAAAAAAATTGGATTTTGGTTTAATTTGAAATTTGGAGTCGACATCGATCATTGGGGTACGTAAGTATAATACCTATAAAAATGTCTTGGGGAATGCCTACCCAAGAAAGTTACTCAGGGCCACAGGGCCTACCCAAGAAGGATCTTGAATTCACTATAAGAGGTAAACTTAGGGTTAGATTGACATTGGAGTACTAGACACATTTAACTTGTAAAAACGTGTGACATGACCTTACAAAAATTTGCAAAACGTTTTTGAAATAGTTTAAAATTTTTATGTGGGACCCAACCTTTGCGTTTCGACTAACTCTAACGGATTACATTAAAAATTCTTAAAATATTTTTTAAAAACGATATTTGATAATTTAAAATCATATTACAAATAAAAATTATAAAAGTATAATAAATAACGATAAAAACCCAACTCGTAAATTTAAAAATAAAAGTGACTAAGTAAAACAAAATATATCATAAATCTGAAGTACGGTAAATCGAATATCAGTAGCAAAAGGTAGTAAACATCATCATAAAATAAGTACTTCAAAATAAAGGCACATGTCACCATAATTGAAAGCAATTCAAAAGATAAAATATTACAACAAAATGTTCTTCGAGAATGCGTCGATCCTCCGAGTGCTTGATTTGGGTACCTATCTAAAAGTATCTGAAAGGGAGTAAAACAATTTGAAAATTGAGCCAGGGGCTCAGTGTGTCCCAATAGTGCAATAAAACATAGTATGTAAAACAATCAAATAATAGTCCAGTAAAATATCAGGGAAATCCTAATAAATCATAAGTTTTTAAAACTCTTAGTTTACCCTCCTCCCGTACACCATATGCAATTCCCCAAAACTGCATCCATGGGGCTTACCTTATACCCATTGGATATAAGAAGCCAACTTAAGGGATCATCTTGGGACCTGAGAACCTACCCAAGAAAGTTCTCGTGGCCGTAGAGCCTACCCAAGGGTCACCTTAGGTCCGTAAGGATTTACCAGCTTGATCAGAGTTGAACCTCCATTCTCCAGCCTACCCAAAGAAAATGTTTCAATAAAACAGTTCACATAATGAGCAGTAATTTCCATGATCTGTATTCGGTAAAATTATATTTTCTAGTGAAACAAATATTCAAATTCCATGCATCATTTAGTCATAGTCCATAAACCATCAACCAGTAAATCATAATTTTCAGTGAAACATATTTCAAATCAGATAAAACAATCGGGTAGCACATATGGAACACACCTCGTAAAATCGGGTCAAACAACAAATCTACTGAGCACCGACCTCGTCATGCTCCGCTACAGTGCTCGAACCTAATTCATACCAAACTGAGTTAATATCGAAGTAATATTCTAATCGGGGTATTCATAAAGTTCACGGTTCATACGAGTGACTATCGGCTCACGTGGTCTAGCGGATCGAGAAAAGTTGGGTCGAGCTGGAGAGCGATCAGATAAGTCTTAGTACCTTCAAATAAAAACAATTAATCAGTCTCAAGTCTTACTTTAATTATTTCGAAATTAAAACACTTAATTACATAAACATATTTGGGTTTGACGGCTCGATTTGGAGGCTTTTAGGTTTTGAATTTAGCAAAACAGACTTCAAAATCGGACTCATGACATTGAAAAACGTAAAATAGGATTTTTCAAAAAATTTGACTTTTCAGTCAATGTGAAAGTCAACGGTCTGACCGGTCAAAATCAACGATATGACCTGTCAAGGTCAACGGTCAGACCTGTCAACGATTCGGGTCGCGTCAAACTGATTCGATTCTGTCTGGCTCGGTTCCAAAAATTTCCTGGAACGACAGGAGACCACCACGTGCACTACCGGGGAGTGGCGACGACCGGGACCATTTCACCGGTCGATTACTCATGATTCAACCATGGCCTCAATTACATCAAAAACCAATCTAATATCACATTGAAACCAAGCCAAACTATCACCAACAACCGATCGGTAACTTACCCAACGGTGGTCGACGATGGCGCGTCAACGAGGAACGAAACTGATCGGGTTTTTCCCACGACACCG